GCGAGGCATGGGAAGGCAAGGGAAGAGAAGGCAAGGGAAACTCACAGGATGTGGGGAAGGGGAATACAGTCTGGGCAGCAGGAAGGCAGGCAGGTCATGTGCTTGTTGCTGCCTGGCAAACTCTAGGACAATTTACTCAGGGTAATGGGATTGTGAAGGCTGAGGCCGGCAATAGCAGGGTCTGTCCCTTTTTCTCTGGGAGCAGAGCCCGACCCCCCCGGCTCCCCCCTCCTGTCAGGGGGTTGCAGAGCCAGAAGGTCCCCCCTGAGCCTCCTTTTCTCCAGGCTGAGCCCCCCCAGCTCCCTCAGCCCCTCCTGCTGCTCCAGCCCCTTCCCAGCTCCGTTCCCTTCCCTGTACACGCTCCAGCCCCTCAATGTCTTTCCTGTTTTGAGGGGCCCAAAACTGAACACGGTACAAAAAATGAAACTAAAAAAAGCTCTTCTAGGTTCTTGCATTGTTTTCTGCCTCCAGGCTTCTTTTTCTGGGGCTACATTTTCCTGAGGCATTGCACTGCTGAAAAAGTAGAGATGCAAACAGCTTTTTTCCACACCTCTCAGCAAAATCCCAGCTAGTGGTAGGAAGGCACTCTGTGTGACATCCTTCCCTACACACATTGAGAAGGAGCCTCTGCAGTTTCAGAAATAGGCTCTAAACTTTTTCAATGAAGGAGGAAATGCAGTTAAATTCTGTTCTGCTTCAAAATGTCACAGAATCCCAGAATCATCGAGGCTGGAAAAGACCTTCAGGATCATCCAGTCCCACCCTCACCCAGCACCACCAGAATCACCCCTAATCCATGTTCCCGAGGGCCACATCCAGGTGCCTCTTGAACCCTTACAGAGATGGTGACTTCACCACCTCCCTGGGACACTTAATCCAATGCCTGACCACTGTTGCAAGGAAAAAGAAATTTCAGTATTTAATCTAAGCAGCCCCTGGAGCAACTTAAGGATGTTTCTTCTCATCCTTTCACTGGAAAATATATTGTGTAGTAAACGTGTTGCTTAGTAAATGTGTAAGTTGTGTGAATCTGACTTTGGTCAAACAACTACAAACATTTACATATTTTGGAGGACAGCTTGTGACACAGGTGGGTGTAGAGAAATGCTTGTTAAACTCTCAGAGAATGGAGAGACACAGATGATATTTTCTGAGAGGAATCCCCAAAGAGGCTTTTCTTGCAAGTGCAATTCTGATCTAGTCCAGTGAGCAACAATGAGGGAAAGGTGACCACTTTCTCAGCCTTAGTAGGAGAGTTGGGTGGGACATCAGTGAAGATATAATGTGAAGGAGAAGGTGGGTTTGATAGCTGTCAGATATCAACATGATGGGGAAAAAAAGAAGTTATCATTTTTCGAGTGGAATGGGCCACTCAGAAGCAAACAACCTCATCAAAGGAAGAAGGTGCAGTTACACTTTCATATTCCAATCAGTGCATTCACGCTTTGATTTCATTCCCGCAAGTATTTCTCACTTTCACAGGAAAAGTAAGGTGCAAGGAAGTTAACTGGGTAATCCGTGGTCAAAAATGGGTTTGGATGAACTGGTGTCAAAACTCAGCTTCTCTTAAACGTGGTGATAGAGTTATCCCTCCCAGATCAAACATCCTGAAACAGAAATGTATTGTGCCCAGAAGAAGCTGTGGCCACTAAAGCAGTTCCAGGTGTTCTCAGGGATTCATCCTTTGTCTCTTTGAGATAAGGACTCTACAATTCCTTCCTCTTTTTATCCCTGGAGGTGTTTAGCACACGTGTAGAGGTGGCTCTTCAGGACAGGGTTTACAGGTGGGATTGGCAGTGTTTGCAGTTGGACTCAGTGATCCTAAGGGTCTTTTCCAAGCTAAATGATCCAAAATATTCAGTGACAGGACATCATTGCCACGTGCAAGCCCATGGCTGGCGTGTTCTGAAGTGGGGGAATGTACAGCAGCTCCTCCACATCTAACCTGGACTCTGCTGCCCTTGATTTGTGGTGGTGGCTGTGTCATCTCAACTCTGCACCTTGAGCAACCAGTGAGTTACTTTCCCAGGAGCTAAATTAATGAGCTAAACTCATTAAGATGAGTCTCAGCTGAGATTTGTTGCTCCCCCTCTGTGCTTTCTGCTTGGTAATGACAGGAACAACAAGCATCCCTCAGGATATTTGACATCAAACCTAAAACTTCCAATCTGCTTTCTGAACAAATTGCCAGCTTGAATTTTCAGCTTCCAAGATCGTTTGTCAAGCGTATTTCCAGCCTCCTGAAGCCATCAAAGGGTGCAGATAAACAGATTTATCTCCTTTAACGCTGATATTCTCACACTAAGCAGAAGACTATGAGCAAGTTTTATTACTTGGAAGGTGGGTGAAGAGATGTGGTGGCTGAAAGGTGGCCAGAAACACTTGGCAGGGGGCTGGTGCTGCCCTGGCAAAGCTACTGAACACTTTAATTTCTCTCCAATGAATTTCACTTCAAGTTTTCTTAGGAGAAAACCTCTTACACAATGTGTTGGCTCCAAGGTGCTCTCATCCAAGGGACAGCATAGCCTAGTTGCCTTCTGGACCTGCTATTCCAAACCCTTTACTCTCAGCAAGACAATGAAACTCCTAATATTCATTTTCCCTAGAAAACAAACAATTGACTAACCCAATCTACTTGGTTGCTTGGCCATGAAACTTGAAATCAGTTCTTTTAAGCCTCAGCAGCCTGTTAAACTTGACAATCAATCATTCCAAAGTGCCAACAGCCACATCCTATGACATATATGGATCTGTAGGAAGGATAGCTCGAAGCCTTTCTAATTTTTCTTGTTTCAATGGAAGTTTCTAGCATCAATCATCCAAGGAAAATGCTTTGCATACCAAAGTGTCACCAAGTTAAAAAGCAGTTTGTGTTTAACTGGGGTGCACTGGAATGACTTTGCATCCATGGATTCCTAAGAAATGCCACGTACTGGGAGCACCGTGTTAACCAGCTGCAGTTGCTTTCTCCCAGTAAAATAGGAATGATATCAAAATGCAGACACTATGTTTCCAAATGCATTTAAGCCAACAGCCCACACATTTGTTCTCCTGATTTTCATTCAGCTGTAGATAGAAAAGACTTAATTCTTTGCCCAGTCGCGCTAAATTACTGCAGAAAGTATTAAGCTTATGTAAGCAGAATTAACATCGTGGCTCAAATCACCGAGCAGCAGCTCCCAGTTTATCCTTTGCATACTCACAGCCTCCTTTTCCTCTGGCAGAAGGGATGAACAGCACGTGCTGATCCCAAGGGATGCCCCAAGGAGCCGCTCTGGGAGCTGGACCATCCGCTGTCCGGCTGCTCCACCACACACTGAGCACCTCAGTCACCAGCTGAAGGCCAGGGGAGAGCGTCACTCCCACATGGGAGGCTTAGCATTCCTCACATTCCCTCCCAGCCTTTCCAGATTATACTCTCTGGAGAAAATGGTGGCTGTACTTCTGCCTTAACAGCACCTGAATATACGAGGGGAGGCGTGGTGGGGTTTGTTTCAAGCCCAAAGCCTGTGGCCCTGCCTGATGTGCTGAGTGCCTTCTGGCTCTTTTTTGGGGGGGAAAAGTGGAGCCCATGGTTCATCAGCCATGGGAAGCTCATGCAGCCCATGGAGACAGCAAGAGTACCATGGACATGCCAGCTGTTGCACAACAAACACTGGATTTACCACACTTGCAGGGTGATTGACAGTTCTGTGTTCATATTGTCTACCACGCTCCCAAAAGTCCAGCCTGTTCCTCCAAACCACTGCAGCAATGGCAGGCACCCTGATTTGGGAACATTTTCCCCAGGAAGAGGAGTCACCTGCAGGAACACAAGGAATGGTCAGATCAGTGGCTCACCCAACCTGGTTATCAGCCTTTGAAATGGAAACGGGCAAAGCTATTTAGGGACAGCAAGGCTGATGTGTTCAAACCCTCCTACCCCCACAATTTATTGGATTAGGGATATTGGTGGCTGTAGGATCCACTTACAAGCCTCCTGTTCCTACCACTGCTCAATACCTTCCTGGGCTCATTGACATTTTCAGTCTCTATAACATCCTGTGACAACTAATTCCGGAATTTCCTGACTCCCCACACTCCCTCTTATCTCTTTTGAGCTGATCTACTATTTTCATTGTGTCTACTCATTTTTATTATGCTGTTGCAGAACTTCTTGACTCAAAGCTCTGCATTCATCCTGTGCACTGCCTTTATTATTTTTGTAACTTGGCTCCCTCTCCAAATTGAAAAGTCTTTTCAGTCTCCTCATGGAGCAGCTGTTTCATTCTCTCCGACTGCAGTTTTCTCTGTACCTCTTCTTACATCCCCAGGTCTTCCCTGAGACCAGGCAGCACAAAGTGTTCAGGATGTCAACTCAGCAAAGCTTTATATGGCAGCAGAGTCCTGCAGCCCTGCTGACAGTGCCCAGCATTTTCCTGGGTCTTGGCTGGTGCTCCATGTTGAGATGATGATTTTGGAAGGACATCAACCTGTTGGAGAGAGTCCAGAGGAGGCACCAAGAGGATCCAAGGGATGGAGCAGCTCTGCTGGGAGGAAAGGCTGGGAGAGTTGGGATTGATCAGCCTGGGGAAGAGAAGCTTTGGGGTGACCTGATTGTGGCCTTCCAGGACCTGAAGGAGCCAACCAGAAGGATGGAGAGAGACTATTTGCAAGGGCCTGGAGTGACAGGACAAGGGGGAAGGGCTTCAAACTGAAAGATATTAGAGTTGGATTAGGTATTAGGAAGAAATTGTTGGCTGTGAGGGTGGTGAGGCCCTGACCCAGGTTGCCCAGAGAAGCTGTGGCTGCCCCTGGATCCCTGGAAGTGTCCAAGGCCAGGCTGGATGGGGCTTGGAGCAACCTTGTGTCCCTGCCCATGGCAGGGGGTTGGAACTGGATGATGTTTAAGGTCCCTTCCAACCCAAACCATTCTACAATTCTATAATTCCATGGCTTTGCCTGGCCCCAAAACATTTGCAGGCAGGGTTAAATTAACACTTTTGCAGACAAAGAGCAGATATGACAGAAAACACATTTATTTATCCGGCTGCACAATGGAAATCTCAATCATTTTCACATGCCAGCTGAGGGAGAAGTGACTCACATGGCTTGTGCCTCTCTGCAGTTTTCAGTGCTGAATTTCTCTTTCTCTGAAGACATCCCCGTGCTGAGTGGCAGTAAAGTGTTTGGCAGTGCATAAACATGGAGAAAGACGTGGTTCCTGCCCTGAGGAGCTTAAAATGTGACACGGACAACACTATTCCAACATATAACAATTGACTGAAATATGATCCGTCGGACATAAGATCCATTTTAACAAGCAACTGGAATACCAAATATATATATAAAGGGCACAGGGAGGACACAGTGGTGTGTTCTGCTATGTATTTATAGGTTCAGAAGTCTACAGGCACAAAAGGTAGTGGTGGTTTGCTTGAGGGAAGAATTTTAGTTTCTTTGGCGGGGCTGCTCCAGCTGGTGCTTCCTGAACAAAAATAAGGGAAATTAGGTTAGAAGTCAGCAATCCTTCTGTGATTTTACATGTCTGAACACTGGAAATATTGAAATGAATTAATTCCCATGCAACAGAGGAACTCAGATATAGGAGAGGTAGTGTGAAAGAAGTGATGGGGTTTCTGTCCTGTTGAGGCCCCACCAGCATCTGGTTGGTGAAACCCTTGGCAAGGTCTGAATTAGCTGGGAATCTAGTCCAGGTCAGGTTGGATGGGGCTTGGAGAAGCCTGGTCTAGTGGATGTCCCTGTCTGTGGCAGGGGGGTTGGAATGAGACAATCTTTAAGGTCCCTTCCAACCCAAACTGTTCCATGATCCCATGGATCCCTCCAGCTCTAGAAAGAGCATTTTGCACTTTGTGTCTGTGGCAGGGAGGAGGTCCCACCACCCAAGGGAAAATCTGCTGGCAATTTCAACTCTCTTGTAGGCTAATGGCTTTTTCCCAATGAGTGATTGCCTGATCTGCATTTCAGTGAAGAGGAGAAGAGTCAGCAGGATGAAGAAGAAAACCTAAAAATAAAGACTGAAACCACAGAACTGGAGAGAACTTGGGCAATGCTGGACACTCACACCCCTGTAGAGGCACTTCCTGTTTGGAATTAAACTTGGTCCAGTTTTGAAGACAACAAGAAAAAAATTATATTATGTCATATTTCTGGTCAGGCTTCTCTCCCTGAACCAGTAATTTTCTTTTTAACAGTTCAACTAATTTGAGAGAAGGCTTCATTTGAGACATGAAGCTCCTAAAAGTTTCAGTGAAATCAGAAGCTAAGGGAGGAGAGAGAAGAATTCTTATTCCAGATGGAAGAGAAGCTGCAGTGAGTCTAAGAGTTAAGTATACTTTTGGATTATTTGGGCACTTAATACTGACCTCTTTATCAATTTTATGTTACTTTACGAATATTTAGAAGCTCAATTTCTTAATAGTTACCTGAAAACCTGTTCAAGAAATAATGTGTCACAGGGAGCTGTACTAAGACTCTTCTTGCTCCTCCACCTCTTCATTTCCTTCTCCCTCTTCCTGCTTCTCTTCTTCTTCCTTTTTTAGAGAAAATAGTTGTAGTTACCATAGAGGAATGGAAAGAAAAAATAAACAGTCTTGAAATGCAGAGCTCTGCTTCTGCAACTGTTCTGTTTCTAGTAAATGCAATATTCTTTGAGATTAAAAAATGGAATTAATGTATAGAGCTTTTAATGTACAGGGCATTTAATCTCCACATTCCAGGGCTTTAATCTGTGGAGTTAATAGGCAAGTGCTGGAATATAAGAACTCTCTTTTCAGGGAGGTTAGAACACAGCACATGGGTGAGCTGCAAATCAAAGCTCAAGAACAAAATGAGAATGTGAAATACGTGTGAATATGACAGAAAGTTTAGTATTTTTAATGACATGCTTTCTTAGACCAGTAAACCAGATTCATGGCACAGGAACTGGACTCCTGAATAATCTAAAAATCATTCAGAATCAGATAATGCAGCCTTAGGTTTATTGCTAAACTTATTTTTCTACTTTATGTGGAAGAAATGGCACAATTTGAAGACAACAGCCCTTTGCTCCAGTCAGCCAAATGAACAGTTATCTGAAAGCTTGAATTTGTGCAACACAGACAACAACCTGTGCTTATTCTCTTTCAAGAGAAAATGAAGCTTTGGAGTGTTGTTCTATTCTGAAAAACAACTGAAAATTGCTTTGCTGGCTCCTCTGCTCCTTCTCTTCCAGCAAAGTCTTGTCCAAAGGCACTCCCATGTGGATAAATAAGCTTTATATCAAAATGTCATCTCTAAGCTGCAAAAGTGATGTGAATTCCTTCCTGGCATAATCAACCTATCAAACAATATATAATTAGTTTTCAGTCAGGACTGCAGGTCTTAAATGAGCAGCTCAGACCTCTGGTTTTCCCCTCAGACACCTCCTGTCTTAATAAGAGTCACATCTGAGTCTCTGAAGTAAAATCCTGCTGAAACATGTGCTTAGAATGAACCTACTGGAATCAGATTCCTGGTTTAAATAATTTTTCAGGGAAAATCACTGCATTAAGTGATTATCCCTGCAAAACCAGAAAGTTAATATGAACACCAACACAGGTCAGCTGGATTAGAAGTTCTTGTGCCAAAGGAATATAATTTCTTTTGGCATTTTCCCCCCAGAAAGGTCCCTTTCATGAGCACCCTTTGGAACAGGACAAGCAACATCTTTCAGATATCCTCAACTTCTGTTCAAAATTCAAGTCAGTTAACTTTTCCAGGGAAAAAAAGGGCATTGTTCTTGCTTGAAGCATTATTTTGTGGTGCCAAGGTGCAAACAACCACCTTGATGGCCCTCACCAGCAGCCCTCATGCTTCGCCCATGGGCACAGGGGCTTTAGGGTCTAGAAAACTCATCTTATGAGGAGTAGCTAAGGGAGCTGGGGGGGTTTATCTGGAGAAGAGGAGGCTCAGGGGGGACCTCATTGCCCTCCCCAACTCCCTGACAGGAGGGGGCAGGGAGGGGGGTCGGGCTCTGCTGCCATGTCCCGAGGGAAAGGAGGAGAGGGAATGGCCTCAAACTGCACCAGGGCAGGTTCAGATCAGAGATTAGAAACAATTTTTCCCTGCAGGAGTGGTCAGACCTTGCAATAAGTGTCCCAGGGAGGTGGTGGAGTCACTTTACCTGGAAGTTTTCCAGAGGTATCTGGATGTGTCCCTTGGGGCCATGGATTAGGGGTGATTGTGGTGGTGCTGGGTGAGGGTGGGACTGGATGAGCTTGAAGGTCTTTTCCACCCTTGATGATTCTGTGTTTTGGGGATTCCATTTCAGCTGCCAGGGGCACAAGGCACAGCTCTGACATATATACAGAGATATAGGCATGGACTGCCTTTTGGAAGTGGGAAGGTGTGGATGTGTCCTCTTAATAACTGCAGGTCTGTAGTGGAAAACAGCCTGAAGTAATATCTAGTTTTCCTGGGAACCCTGTACAACATTCCAGGCCTAAACTTGCAGTGCTGGGCAAAGCAGAAAAGTGCATAAGGATTTGCACCTGGGTGAGAAAAAGATCTCCTTTACAGGCAGAGCTGCCTAAATTGTCAGAATGAACCTTTCCCACTCCCAACACTGCAAATGTAATCAGTTTGGTGTCATTGATTGCCAAAAGTAGAGTTGCCTTGGGAGTCCTTGGCAAACTTTATTGAAGATTCCGAAAGACAATTTTTCTTCCATTTGCAGTTTTTTAATGATTAAAGGCCTATCTTTTTTCCCAGACAATAAGGCACTGATATGACCAATAATTATCTCTAGCAGAATGTGGTTGATATTTAGTTTCATGAATAAGGACTTACCAACTTCTGAGTGAAGCAATGGGACTGAAAAGGAATTAAATGCACACAAACAAAAGAGGAAAACAAAATGTCCAAGTACACTTACCCCTGTTACTGCATGTTCTTCCTCGTTTTCCTACATGAGAGATAAAAAAGAAAATGTTAAAAAGACAAATCAAAGACAGAATAGCAGAGGTCATACAGGAAAAAACACAGCAGAAATCAAACACTGAATTTAGGAAAATTATGTGGCATTCATTTTGAGACAATGTCCTCCAGATTAACTCACACAGCACATTTAAACTAAGCTTTTATGCAGGAAAAGGGCTATGAAATCATTAAATTGAGCTCCATTTTTCTCAGTTGTTTCAATCAAACCTGCTTCATTGACAAGCAAAGCCTCAGAGCTGAGGTTTTGTTTGCTTGTTCAGGTGGAGTTTTTGTGGGGGTTTTTTGGCAATGAGCTGGTCTGCAAAATGCAAGTTAAATCAGAATTGTAGAGAGTCTTATCTATGTTAGTTTTCATCACTCGGAATCTGGCTTGTGGTTCTGTTAAGTGTTGTAGGCTGGAACAGATGCCTTGGCTGGGGAATAAGGAAAAATACAAGCTGGGTTTAGGCTGTGCATTGAGCAGAAGTGATGAGAGAGATAAAAGAGAAAAAAATATAAATGTACAGTGAATAGAACTTAATGTCAGACCCTAAGCTGGCTGTTAAGGAAAAAAGCTGATCCTACCCAAAATCCCAAAGAGAAGGGGCAAAAAAATCAGTGGTTGATCCGAGTTTGCATAGAATGAGTTGAAATAAGAGAGGGAGGTGCAGTGCCAAGGTTTATATATGGCCTGGGGAATTGCTGAGGCAGGATACAGACTTGCATCCTAGTATGATTTTTAACATGATTCTAAAATAATTCTGCCCTGAAGGGAGCCTAATCTGCGCTGCAAACTGATTTAACTGGGGCACCTCTTAAAAAATATTCTAAGCTCCAGGGTAAAATCTGCAGTGAAAATCAGACAGTAAAAATATAGAAAAATTATTGCCAGCACATTTAGTGACCAGCAGAGCCCTTGCTGCTCTGTGTGTAGAGGAGCTCATGGTCTTTTCCTCGAAAAACTCAAAGACAAAGGGATAAACAAAGCAAGGAAAAGGAATACTACATCCAAACAAAATGGCTCCTAAAGTTCTCCACCAGAGAATGGGGATTAGGAATGAAAAAAGGAGATTAGAAGGGAGTTAAGGCTGAGCTTGATGAAGTGATTAGGGAAGGAATGTTCAGCAACAGGTTTAAGGTGAAGAAAAGTTTCACAATCTAAAGAAATTTGAGTGCAGTTGTGTCTCGGTGGCCCATGCTGAGAGCTGTTCCTGTCACTGCTGGATCTGTTTAAGAACTCTGGGCTTCCCAGACTTTTTGTGTGGATGAGGGACTGGAGCTGCTGGAGCCTGAGGAGTCTCGTGCGAGTTCCATCAGGCACAACCTGTTGCACTGTGCCCTTATTGCTGCCCCTCTCAGGAGGCAGCTGCTGCCTTCAGAGTTTTGTTTTTCAGAGGATTGGGGTCTCTCACTGGTTCCCTCAGGGTCACACCAGCCTGAGGTAAAAAGCTGGAGCTTCTGGACTCCTGCACGTCCCACAAGGGCAGCAGAAGAGTCGGAGAGAGCTGCAGCCTCCACACGTATCCACATGGACCATCACCTGCCATTCCTGCTACCCAGGCACTGGAGGAGCCTCCTGGAACCTGGGAGCCTCCATGGAACCCAACAGCTGAGACAGTCCCAGTTTGTTTTGTGATCTGTCTTGTGCTCAAAGTCTGAGGTAACTTTACCTCACCAGGACTCTCCTAGAATTTTTCCACAGCACTGGCATTTCTCCTGGGAAGTCACTGGAGAAAAGCTGGCTTGGTTACACCCAGCCTGAAGGAGTCATTTTTGAGATGGTTTGAAACTAAAAAGGGCCAAAATGCCAAGACTAAATTCCAACTGGCAGATTAATTCAGACACAGAACATAAAACTGCCATCTTTCCATTTTTCGATACCACATTTGTCCTTTAGGATTTAACATCCAGTGAAGATACTCCAATGGCAACCTGGCAGTCTTTCAGTGTATTTACCTTCATAAAACCCTAATCAGGTAAGAAACTGTTATTCTAACTTTCTTTTATAGGCATAAAACAAGATGAAGAGACAAAAGGTGGAATTCATCTCACTGTAACTGCCTCAGAGTTGTTCTTCTCATCTAAACTTGCCCTCTGTGTGCTGTCTGGAGTGAATGAGGATACCAGAATTCCTACAGAATGAATCATGCCATCCCAACAGAAGTGATAATTGGAATGAACTATAGCAAGGCAGGCAGATGCCACACTGCTGAAAGGATTTGTCCTGGGTGACATGAGAAGTGGGTGGTGGAACAGGGTGAAAAATGCTTTTTGTGCTCTCTCCCCTCCCTGGAAAACTGAAGGAGAATCTGTTTTCCCACTTCCAGCTCCAACCCATTCCCTGAGAAGTGGAGCAAGGTGCTGGTTGTGCAGGAGTGCTGCTGCATGATGTCACTGCACGCAGCTGCTTGACACATTTGCAGACATGTTCCAGCATTCTGCTCTCATTTGAAAAACATCAGAGCACACTGGCAGCCAGAAGGGCAAGAAACCCAACCCAGCCAGGGATGAACTGGTTTTGTGCTGGGCTTCCCTTGAGAACCAAGGAAAAAGGAATTTGGTGGCGTTCACGTGTCAGCTGGAATTCACTGAGACGTAAAAAGGGCTCGGGTATAATTTAAGGAGGAATGTCGGTTCTCACTGAGGGCTGTATCTCCTCATCACCATTTTGAAATTATAATGGGACTTCCCAGTTCCTGAGGCTGGCAGGAGGATGTGAAAAGAGGCTTTTCCAGCCCAACAGTGACTGGATCAGTCATTTTTAATAAGGGTAATGAGGAAAGGCTTACAGAGAGGTGTTTCCTCTGGAAAAACATTGCAGCTGGATGAAAACAAAAAAGAACCAAACTCCATTTATTTTGGTCTTTAATGAAAGAGATGATGCGTTTGTGACAGATATTACCCTGGGATTGTCTCATCTCCAAATCACAAAAGAAACTGAGAAGTGTGAGGGCTTGATGCTGCAACAGGCCTGACTCCTTGGGAAGAGTCACCTCACACTGCAGCATGAAAATAAACCCAGCCCTAAATGCTAAAAGAAACCCACCCCTAAATGCCAGAATAAACCCACCCTTAAATGCCAAGCTGCCCTGCAGTTTGAGATGTGCCCATGTGGCTGCAATGTCAGACCATGACCCCACAGAAAGGAAAACACTGCTCTCTGTTTCTCCAGTGCCCAGGGGATTCTCCACGGCCTGGAGAAGCCACTGTCAGATCTGCAACAAACATTAACAAGGAGATTTATGAGCACTGCAGATGCTGGCAATTTTTTCTTCCACCCAGGCAGGACTCAGATGTCGAGTCCTAAATTATTCTCCATAACTAGGGTCTGGTTCCAAATGGCCATCAAAAAAAAAAAAATGCAAGCTGTTTAAAAAAAAAAAAAAAAAAGCTTATGGTAACAAGTGGCAAAAGGAGGCTGTGAAGTCATTAATCTAGGTTTCATAGCATCCTGATATCAGAGAAAATGCATCCAGAAGACAAGCAGGACCTCTCTGCAATCAATCTTCCCACCCTTGGGCACACTGAGAGGACCTGTGGGCTTATGTTTCCTGTGCTTAGCACAGGCAAAACCCTCACTCCACAAAGAGAAAGGAAAAATTACCTGTTGATCTTCTGATGGTGCCTGATCAGACTGAGCCTCTTCAGGAGCCCCTTCATCTGCCTTATCTTCTGTGTGGGTCTCAGTTTCCTCCACGGCCTCAGACTTTTCCTCTGTGGCCTCAGATTTTTCCTCTGTGGCCTCAGATTTTTCCTCTGTGGCCTCAGATTTTTCCATGGCCTCAGACTTCTCTTCCACAGCATCTGACTTTTCCTCCTTGGCATCAGACTTTTCAGTCTCCTGGCAGCAGAGGAGAAGTCATTGTTACCTTCAGAGCTCATAATCAGCAATTCATTTCTATTGAATTCTTGACTTTTGGGGCATGTGTTTTTTTAATTTTGTTTCAGCACTCAAATGAAAATCCAACCCTTTTGAGTTCCTGTGGAAGGAACACTTGCTGACATGTGGATCTGTTGGGATTAGTGCAGGGAAAGCATGAATTGTGTAGGGAAACCATGAATTCGAGCCCTTCTCAGCACAGAAGATTCTCTAACTTTTCTGTGGAAAATTTAGTAGAATAGATGTTCACCCTGATGGCACATTCAGGCTTCAAGGAAAAAAATGCTTTTTCACCAGCATGAATTCCAATTAAGGGTCATCAAGAAGCTACAGAAAAACAGAAGTAATAGAGGATTTCATATATAATCTCAACTTTCTTGCTGAAAAACATCAGGAAACTGTTCCTACAACAGTCAGTCAAGTCTATTTATTCCAGCACTGTGACCAAGCACCTCCTAGAAGGCTCTTTATTTGACGTCCTGCTGTACTTTCAGCCAGGAGGCTGAGAAAGGTCACCCTGGCTCACACACTGTGTCAGATAAAAGGAGGCCTGCACGGCCCTGAGTGGAACAGCAGAAACAGGATGAAATGCAACAGCAGGGAGAGCAAAGTCACATTGTTTGGGACAAGCAGTTCTGGGGCAGAGATTAGAAACAGGTTTTTCTGTTGCACTTTGGGAGCCTGTTGGTCAGTGATCATCAAGGAAGGAGAAGGTGGATGCATTTAAATAAGCACAGAATGACTGAGCCATGAGTGTGACAGTGAAAGAGGTAATAAATGTGATGTGATTCGCAGATGTGTCCTCCAGATCTCTCTTTACCACCCCAGTCACTCAGGTTCAAGAAAGAGAAGCTCAGACTGGAACAGGTGCAGAGGGGGCTACAGGAACATCTGAGGGAGGGCAGGGCCTGTCCTATGAAAGGGTGACAAAAAAAGCTTCATTACTTTAATCTACTGAAAGAGATGCTGGGAGGGGATATGATATATCCCAAAATAGATCAGAGTAAACATTAGGGAGGGATAGGATAAGGAAGAGCTCTGAGGTAGGTGCAAAATGAGTACAAATTGGCTTTAAAGAAAAATTCTAATCAGCATCGGTGTGAGATTTTGGAAGGGGTTTATAATAAAGAAGCTGAGGCAAAGGACCCAATTCATTAAAAGGGAATTTGGCCCCTTCTGAGAGGTGTTATCTGCTGTGGTTTCCTCCAGCAACAGAGAACTGGGTTCAGGGAAGGTCTTGTCCTATGTCATCCTGAGTCCTACACCCTATGGGCAGAGCAGCACATCCCTGATAGGGGACTGGCTCCTTCCTCATCCCTGTGACCAAGCCCTTACAACTCATCCCCTGGTTCCATTTGAGTTTTGCTGCTTTTCCACAGTTTCATTTGTTAAAGAAAAGCCTCCAGTAATGATCCCCTGTCCTTTAAGCTTCACAAGTCCTCCTCCAGTGTCCCCATCACAGATGATTTCCTCAGCCAGCATTCTTATCCTACAGAACCATGGTATGGGCACAGCTCTCCAGCTTTTATCCCCAGAGCAGGCTGAGGTGAGTGCTGGCCTAGGGATCTTTGTCCCATGACGTGGTGTGGGACATCAGACACGTCCTCCTGCTGACAAGCTCTGCTGGACCAGGACAAAAAGAGGTTAGGAATGGATCTTTTTTTCCTGAAACTTCATTGTAAGATTTGGTGCTCTCTTGGCAGTTGCCTCCTGAATTATGGAAAACAAGTTTTACAAGTGAGGAACTTGCAAGTGAGAAGAGAGTGGGCACAAAGGCTCCTAAATTCCCCTTCCTCTCCAACTGGAGCAGGAGCTTGATCAAGATTAAAGCTTTAAAAAGCCAAACATTTCTATCCCACACCATTTTCACACTCTGTTACACAGCTGCAGGAATGTTTTTGCCAGCACATGGGGGATGCTCAGGAAGAGGGATGAGCAGCTGGGAGTGAGCAGGAGGAGCTGCAGGAAGGAGGAAGGAGAAAAGATAATTTCTTTTTCTGGCAATATTGTCTCATTTCAAGTCCACATAAAACTGTGGGCTCACTGCACTTGATGCTGGTGGCATTGTTATTAAAAAAAGATCTCCAGAGGCATTTGTTTGGCTTAATGTACCTTTTACTTTTCCCCCAATCGGCCAACAAAATATTTGAAGATTAAAATATGTAGTAACATAGACATATATTGAAATTCTCTTGTGCAACATTATGTTAATACATTATTTTTTTAGGCAAATGATAACTTCTTAGAGATACTTTCTTGGCAGAAGTTCCCAAAATGAAAAGGATGGTGTTAATGAAAACTAAATTCATAGAATCACGGAATGGTTTGGGTGGGAAGGGACCTTAGAGATCATCCAGTTCCAAGTTCCCTGCCATGGGGAGGGACACCTTCCACTAGACCAGGTTGCTCAGAGCCTGGTCTTGAAATAAGTTAAATATTCTTTTTCAGCATGAATATTAACATTTTAAAATCCATATGCTAAATTTGTTTTGGCAGATACATAAAACACATAAAGACCAAAGAAGGCATTCTAATTAAAACAAACCTATTGTGTAAATCTACCTCAGATGAATCACATATTTACTCAGCTCGTAAGGCAAAAAAAGAGTTGGAGCTGAAAGCATTTAACTCCAGAGCAGCTTGTTGTCAGCCAGAACACACACACATCCAGAGTTCTTGTTAATTCCATGGAGAACTCTGACATTGGGAATGTCATCGTTCCACTGACTCTCCATAGAAACACAGAATTTGATTTTCAACTAATTTGAAAGGAAGTACCATTTATAAAGACTGGCTGGCAGGGCATTTACACACACTGTAAATTTGTAATTCAAAGCAAACTTAGGAGAAGCCTCCTTCCACTAACAGACTTAAGCTCAAGTATCTATGGATTTTGGGATATCAAGATTCTGGATATTAAGATGAAGAATGTCAAGATTAAAGCTTAAATATATTTAAATACAATTTAAATATATTTGCTCAGGTAAATCACTGAGTTCACTGAGTCTCAGACTAAGTATAAAAGTGGCACTGGCTTTAAAAAGAAATGTCCCCAACTTTGAGAGCAGCTGAGGCTGACACACCTGACCCCAAACCCACAAACTACATTGATTATAGTTCAAATGTACACACCTCTTGTATTGGGACAGCACTGTTCGTGTCACTAACCCAAGATTCAATGGGATCCTTCAGAAATCTATCACTGATTTGAGTGACCTTTCAGTCAGGAATAAAGGAATAAATAATTGTTTCCTTCTGAAACAATTACAGCTTTTTATAAGTAAGAGAATACTTAAACAACAGCGTGTAAAGGCTACTTTGTGTTTGCTGCTGGTGTGAGAAGGATCTCCTTTACATCTGTGTGTATTCAGAGCTTCTTTACGTGGGTCTCAGAGCCAATGTGCACCTTGGTGACAAGCCTGATGTGTCCCAGACATACCAGAGTCACTCTGTAAGTGTGGATCAACTTGCACATGGAGCTGTGGCACCATCCCAGCTCCAACACTGGGCACTGACTGTTCAGTGTAAACAAGTGGATCTGGTGACCAGTTGTAGCCACACAACCCAGGGAGGAGCCGGGGCTGCAGAATGAGGATCTGCGGGACTGAAATGTGCATTTTGCACTGAGAAGTGGCAATTAATTGGCAGAGAATTTCACTGCAAGTATTTTGTTGGGAAGTTGTGATTTGTTAGGGAGCCACAAAAGGCTCATCTGGTTATTTTAGGAAATAGGCTCAAAACAGTCCTGGATCAGGATCCTGTAGGACTGTGCTGTGAAACAGCATCGAGGTCATTAAAGAGCTTCTCTACTCCTGGTGCAGTATGAGACAGAGGATGGATGGAAAAAGAAATAGAATGTTTTAAGAGAAGAGTATAAAACATTCATGTTAACTTATAAAGATTAATCCCTAGTAAAAATGCGTAGAAAGCAGATGTTTACCGGCCTGTGGTGATTTCATGCTTTACAGTTTGCTTCTTTTATAAAGTATCACCACATTCCAGACAAAAAAAATATACTATTATTTAAGAAGGGATTAGAAGGAAACTCTGTCACATGTGTCATCATCACCATCCCTTCCACACCTGACTTATTATCCCAGATTTCTGCTGCTGGAAGTCACTGTCACGAGCCATCCATTGTGCTTGTGCTAAGTTGAGGTGACAGCTGAGCGAGGGGGAAGGTTATTTGTGTGACAAAGCACAGCCAACCCCTCATGCAGAGGTGCTGAGAAACACCTCTGCAAGAAATGCTAAAACGCTTGCCTGTGTCTCTCTCAAACAGGAACAGATTCGAAAAGGGAGACAGTAGAAATTCTACTTTTTACATGGACTTTTTACAAACACTCCCACTTATTTCCACTTTCTGGGCTGGAGCCACCACCAAGGAGCAGTTAATCAGTGTAAACCACACTTGCACTAGCAGGAATCTGCCCAGCAGAATGTACCAAACATATTATTTTCAGCATTTACAAGGTTGTCACGAAGTAGAAACCGTAACAGCCTCTGCTGTCAGCTGGGAAGGAATGAATTCTAAAAAAATTATTACTTTGCTTCGTAGACATGGTATCTAACTGAGCCTTGCATGAAGGAGCAGATAATCTATGAAGTGGGAAGATGAGGAAATGCAATTTTCTTTATCTCATTGATTCCCCACATATCTTTTATAATGGTTATAATATGGAGTACCTGCAGTCCTTTAAGCCTTTCATGGCTTTGTGGATGTTAATTAAATGAATTCTCACAAGACCTTTGTGAGGTAGGCGAGTCATTTTTATTTCCCTGGTTAGGAGATGGCACAGCTAAAGCAGAAAGTTTAAATGACTCTCCTTATCACACAGGGACTCAGTGTCAGAGACATTTATAACAACTGGGGCTCTCCCTTGGGTGCCTTTTCAGCTGTAGCTCTCGAAGCACTCAGCAAAGGTTCCTTTTCCTCTCTGCTTTTACAGCAGAGGATAAACAGGGACATTTACAATGGTGTTTCCCTCCGAGTTGCTGCACAGTTGGCAGCAGAGCTGGACCAGAAGGCAGATCTCCTGCTCCAAGGCAGCTCCTCAGCCAGGTCACCACAACACAGCAGAGTTCTCTCCTCACTCTCCTGATTCATTTCTTTTGTTGAATCACCCACAAAAGGTGGCGATATTTTATTATCATCTAACATGATCTCGGGAGAAGGGAGCTATAGTGCTCTCTGTTATGAAACTTCTAATTAGAAGAAGACTCTGATAAAAAGAAAACACGCTGATGGCTAAAAAGAACACAGTGAAAAAACGGTGGGGGAAAAAAACCCCAAAATAACAGGTTTTTCTTTTGCCAGAAATATATTAGAACATTGTGAAAATACAGTGGATGGAGAACCATGGGTAGATTTGCCAGAGAGACTTGGTGAAGTCCTGGGTGAGCCTTTATCTCCTCAGCCCACAGCCCTGCTGTTGGGGGACAGGACAAACCCTGTTTGGTGCCCTCAGGGGGAAGGGAAGGTTTCTTGTAAAACAGCCTAGAAATTGCATCAGGAAATTCTGCATCATTTAAAAGCTGAACATGATAAAATACTGCTTTGTGTCAACAACAACAAAACCATCAGCTGGAGCCATGGTAACAAGCCTGCAGTGAAAGAAGGGAAGAAAGAAGGATTTTCTAGTATTTACTGAACCAGTCACTGTTTTTTCCCCCCCTGACAACACTTTGCTGCACCAGAATCTAAAGTATTGCTTGTGACATGCTGAGTCACTGCCTATGTTCATCTTTTATTAAAATCAAATAAATGATCCCCATGGAAGGACAGCAGTGCATACCTTGGTGCCTGGAGGAGGAGCAAGGCCCAGGAATGAATAAATAATATTTTCTTCCTTTGCAGAGAAAAAGGATTCAAAATCCTAAAAAAAAAAAAATGACAAACAAATAAGAGAATTGGCATCAAAAATCAAATAAAAAGCACAGGAGGAAGAGATCAACCCAGGTAAATCTTATATTGATGAGAACGACCATGAATTTGTACTTCAGCCTGCATTATCTAAGCCCCAGGAAGAAAACACAGATAAAGGGAGTTTCATATAGGCAATAAAATTAATAAATGGGCAAATCTCTCCAGAGACTTACACTTTAATTATATCCCATGGATGTCAGAATCAGATAAAATTAAGTGTCTCCTTTTAATGTGCCTCAGCTGTGCACTCCGAGGCAAAACTATTCCCACTTCAATGTTAGAATGAAACTTGCTGTGAGTAAGAACACAAAACAGGCCCTCAAATAAAAGACAACACTCAACATGATAGCATGGGTGAAATGATGACAAGGAAACTTTATTTTAAAGAAAGGTACCCTGCTTAGGAAATGTAGATATTTTTCAGATCAACTTAGTAGAGGGCTGTGCTGTTCCCTCTGACATGTTTCTGTCAACCAAAATGTCTTGTCCACACGTGAACAGATAAATCCTTATGTTAAATGCTTGTTTTCAGTGCTAATATAACTGAGAAGATGGGAGGGAAGCTTCCTGTCCTGCCTCTAGAACTTGTAGGGTATTTACTGTTTTCACCTATCAATTAAGGAAGCTCTGCTATCACTGTTTTGTTACTGGAAAGCTCAGGACTCACATCTTACGCAGGTGAAAATCAATGTGTGCTTGAGGTCTCAGCAGAAACTCTGGCCCACAATCACACCAGGTCTAGGACAGGGGACTGAACCCATCTGCTGAGTCCTGCACTACTGCCTTGAGCATGTTATCATCCTTCCTTTAATCCCAAATAACTCCAGAAATAGAAGCCTGTAAATACTAAGGTGCTGAGTCATCCTTGAGTCTTGTTTGTAAAGCTGGGTTAGACCCCAGTTGTTTTATTGCACCCTTTCAGTGTTTCCAGAGAATAAATTGCTGGCCAAGAGTAATCCCAGGGAAAAGCTGGAGTGGATGGTTTAGCAGTCACCTTAATGTCAACAAGACTGGACTCAGTGACATTTCAGTCCCGTTTGGAAGAGCTTAACAGGCATGATAAACGACAGCCCATTTCACCCATTTGTCTGGGGGACAGATTGGCTTTCACACAGTCACAGGCAGTGGGAACTGCCTGGCTGGGAGAAGCCCTGGAGCACATTTTGTCCTGAGCAGGCAGAAAACCTGCTGCTACCCCAGGCCACCCACTGCTCAAAGGATCTGTTTGCTGCTTTCCTGTTGCTGTGGGATTCTCCTTCTCACTTAACCCAGGCAGGGTCTGCAGCCTCACCCATGAACTCAGGAGTAACGCAGCAAACAAGAATACGAGGATTTTCTGCAGATTCCAAGGGCCTGGAATTTGACATGGCCATAAAACACAGGAGACTTGTGTCATCCACGCACCAAAAACTCCTAAAGCAGCCTGAGAAAACTATGGCATGACATATCAAGAGCTGGGAAACAGGAGAAGACAGTAATAAGGAAAGGCCACTAAGTGGACTTGATATTTTATACATCATTTTGAGGAAAAGCAGCAGATGGCAAGTGTATTAAAAATCACCAGAAACACTCAGCCTTGGAGATAACCAGAGCTGAGGGCTAAAGCAAGAGGTGTGAATGACCAGACAACTCCTTATCAGAAGGGGATACATCTCCTATCATATCAGATGTTCTTTGGCAGCAGGGAATGTGCAATGACATCCCCAAGGAAATGTGGCATCTCGTAGTAAATGGAAGGTCACATATTTCCTCACACTGAGGAGGAAGCTGTTATGTATTAGGTAAGGGATAAAGGAATGATTAGAGTGATCATGGAATAGTTTTTCTATTGCATGTTTGCACTCTTGCTCTCCTAATGCTGACCAAAGCAAACATTGCCAAGGCAGGCAGTAGGAAAAATGAGCAGTAACAATCTGTTTCAGGTAAGCAATAATATATCTGTATGAGAAGGAATAAATGGTCTAGGAGAAGGGTAGTGGTGTCATTTGTCAAGAGGACATCAGTGGAAAGTTCTTCCCCACATGCCTGGTAGGACAGCAGGTCAGAGAGCACAGAGAGGGCATGGAAAAACCACCCTTGGAGTCTTTTTGAATTGTGGTGGTCAAAGCCCCAGGCAACACCAGCTGACTTTAAGGTCCCTTCCAACCCAAAGCAATCTGTGATTCTATCGTTCATGTAACTGCTACAGCCAAACATATGGAAATACAGGCACCTCTGGAGGGCTGTAGTCCAGCCTGCTGTCAGAGTAGGACAGCTTTAAAGATCATCCAGTTCCAACCCCTGCCATGGGCAGGGACACCTTCCACTAGACCAGGTTGCTCCAAACCCCGTCCAACCTGGCCTTGGACACTTCCAGGGATCCAGGGGCAGCCACAGCTTCTCTGGGCAACCTGGGCCAGGGCCTCCCCACCCTCACAGGGAAGAATTTTTTCCTGATATCTAACTAAACCTACTCTTTCAGTTTGAAGCCATTCCCTCTTGTCCTGTCACTCCAGGCCCTTGCAAATAGTCTCTCTCCATCTTTCTTGGAGCTCCTTCAGGTCCTGCAAGGCCACAATCAGGTCACCCCAAAGCTTCTCCTCTCCAGGCTGAACAATCCCAGCTCTCCCAGCCTTTCCTCCCAGCAGAGCTGCTCCAGCCCTTGCATCCTCTTGGTGCCTGCTCTGGACTCTCTCCAGCAGCTCCATGTCCTTGCTGTGCTGTTCCCCAGCACTGGAGCAGCTCTGCAGGTGGCGTCTCACCTGTGGGGGCAGAGGGACAGAATCCCCCCCTGCCCTGCTGCCCACGGTGCTTTGGATGCAGCCCAGTTGGATTTCTGGGCTGCAGGTGCACACTGCAGCATCAAATAAAAGTCTAATAATCCAGAGATTTTTTTTAGAAGTATGTACATGGGAACTTTTTACTACAGTTTTCAGTTTACAGAGAATAGCCGAGATTTCAGCTCACAAAGAAAAGCAGAAGTGTACATTCCATTTCTTTCCTAGTTTTCTGGAGTTTTTTTGTTAAGCAAAAGCAAAGACAAGAGCAACAGAGTGCTCAATATATTTAGCAAGTGACACAGATGCAGACTCTGTCTAGACATGAGCAAAGAAGCAGCTTAAGAAAAAGATCAAATAAGGACATATTTGCCAACACTGATGGATTAGGATGGATACTTGAAATTGGTGCTGTAGCCGGGCATACAAAATGAATCCATTTGTAATCTATTTCTTCAAGTGGCAATAGCAAAAATCTGAGAGAAAAATAAGATTTGAGTTATTTATAAGACAGTCTTAAGCTTCTCTGACCTCAAGGAAAAGCTGCTCCTAGTCGATGTACCTTCATGAAAATGCATCCCTAGGAAACCCCCATTTTACAGAACAAGTTGGGAAGTGGTCTTCCAGAACATCCATAAAAATATCAGCAGAAAAGCAGGTTAGCAGCAGGACTGCATTCTCTTGCTCATTGTGTCACTCCATTCCAGTATGAAAAAGAAGACTCCTCACCTGTCCCCAGTATCCCCTCTGTCCTCACCACCACCACTCCCAAAATGTCACTGAAGTGCAAGAGAGGACATTGGAGAAGGTCCCAAAGGACCATTTCTCCAACACTGTTCCTGGCAGGTGTTTCCCTGATCCACTGGTAAAGACCTTTAATGAGATAATTAGTCAATCCCCTGAAAACTGCTTATTTTCTGACGTCTGACTTCAACTTTCTTTGCTGCATTTTTCCCTCATACATCTTGTCCCACCTCTAGTGGGAGTGGAGCAGGAGATACTTTACAAAATCCTGGAAGCATGGGATAATTCATGTGGGAATAAACCTCAGGAGATCATCTAGTCCAGCCTCCTGCTCGAAGCAGGGCCAATGCTGAATTCACACCAACAATATTTGAAGGTTGTCATACCTCTTTCCAAATTTCTTTTTCTCAGGGTGAAGGAGGAAAAGAGTGAGCTCAGAAAGAAGAATGAGCAAAAATGAAATGTATCAGATTTGACCTACAAAAAGAGTCCTACCTGGGAATGAAGAAAGAAAAAATCAGCAGGAAGAGAAAGCCGAGAAAACGAAAGAGAAAATATCCTATCCAAAAAAAAGAGATGGGAAGAGTTTGACATGTCAAGCACAGCAAAATGAAGATTAATAGAGGATATGATTCCCATTTACAAATACAAATTTACAAATTCTCCACCAGCCACATCATCCCACGTCACACTCACTGTGCAGCTCCCCTGAGGCACCTTCCCCTGGGCAGCAGGGACAGGCTCATGAGCTGATATGGCTCTCATTACCTCATTTATTTGGAAATAATGATGCCATGAATCAGTCTCTGTTATGCACCCACTGGGATCATTAGCTATGAGCTTTGGGAGCTGGGTACATTAGAATTCTGGAGAGTTCTAGGCTAATTGTAATTTTGATTTAGTTGTTTAAATCAGTAGCTGCAGTTCCTTCCCCCGTGGAGGTGTCTTTGCAAAAAGACTGTTTCTTCACTTATTTCAAGATGTAGATTATTTGGCTTCCTGAAATAGCTTCAGACATGGAATAAAAACTTTGTATTTACTATTTACTGGCAAGGCTGACCAGCTGTAGCACTTTAAAAGGCAATTACTCTTTAATTCCCTGTATAAACTCTCAGGGAACACCAGAAATATTTATTGCAGCATTGGCTGCCACAAACCCCAGAGTAAGATATATCAAATTGTACTTTTCATTGGTGCAGACTGAGTGCTGAAATGCACAGGAACTCCAACACCCCAACTTCTCTTTTAAGAATCCTGTGAGAAAATGGGGGAAAAAGCTGCACTCCAACATTTGTACTACCAACTTTTGCTCTGGGAGCACCGAAATTAATTCTGAAAACTTAGTGGCATGTAAATCCCTGCTCTCCCAGTACAACCTTGCAGTAGTTCACACTGGATTTGTGCAGTAACTTAAAACTGGGCTCACTATGTGAGCTGCATTTCAGGGTGCTTTGCAGGTTCATTCCAGTGATCATATCACAGCACTTTCCAGACTTTGTATTTCCACCCAGACTATGAGGAAAACAAGGCCTCAGATTATCTCCTTTGATTCAGAGTCCTAATATTCAGGCTGGTACAGTCCTTTCTATCTGTGATTTGAACAAACTGTCTCAAGAGAAAGAAGCTGTTACAAGCACATGTGAAAATACAAAAGTATCTGATGAGTCTGTTATGAAGAGATGGATGTTAATTGAATAAGCAATATAATTTCAACAATTCAAACCACATACTAAAACTATTCCAGCATACAATCATTAATATTTATTTGCATGATATAATGGAAAAGAAAGATTCCTGGTCACAGCCTCTGGTGCCTCAGATGTCTACTTGACAGCCCAGATGAGTCTGTGTCAAACAAACAAAATATTAGCACTTCCCATGCAAAATTAATTTAACATTTTCCCTCCGTGTGTACTCTGCTCTTGAAAATAAATAATCTTTTGGGTTTTTTTTTTTTTGCTTTTCTGTGCTTAAAATGTGCTTCTTAAGGATTGTTCTTTCACAGTGAGACTCAAATTGTCTTAAGGAGTTTGCTTGACACTTCCCACTAATGGAAAAGAGTCACTTCCTATGGAAAACAACTCTCTGAAGGTATTTAAGCATCCAAACAGTTTCTTACCCCACAGTATCGCTCCTCATTGAAGATCTGTGGAGGGAGGGGAATTCCATTTTGAGGCTTTTTTTCACCTGGGACATTCTCTCTCATCCATTTCCTGTTGTCCTCATCCCCTGCTATGTCCATCTGCTGAAAGTCAATCTTGTTGGCCTCCAAAAAGCCCACGACTTCTTGCTGTTTCTTTTTTATCTGGGTAGGAAAGAGGAAAAACTGAATTCCTCCTTTAAAAAGAAAATTGTTGTTACAAGAAGAACTCATGCGAGTATGTCAAGTTTACAGAATCCCAGGATCATTTAGGTTGGGAAAGACTCCAAGGTCAAGTCCAACCTTAGGCCAATCACCACTTTGTCAGCTAGACTGGAGCACTGACATGTCCAGTCGTTCCTTGGACACCTCCAGGAATGGGGACTCCACCACCTCCCTGGGCAACCCTGTCCAAGGCCTGACCACCCTTTCAGTGAAGAAATTCTTCGTGAAAGTTAGAAGTTCTTGAAGCTAGATCCACTACTCCAGCAGCCCTCACACTTTTCAGCACCCAGAGAGCTGCCATCCCCCCCATACACCCACCCCCAGCTCCTTTCTTTCCTCCCTGGAAGCACTGATACCTCCATCTAGGGAATGAGGCTCAGCAGGAAGCCTCCCACTCTGCTCCCAGATCCATGAGTGTGGTGTACAGATGCCTAAGCTAATCCTGCCTGAAGTCAGCACAGGTCTGAGAAAGTACATATTCTCCTCAACATGTAAGAGCCTCCTTTTTCCTGCTAATTACATTCGACATTTAGCTCTCCATGAGCCACGTTTCTCTCTGTCCCTGTTCTTTAAAGCTGAGGGATAATTAAATATCACAGAATCAGAACCATGGAACCATCAGGGTTGGAAGGGACCTCTGGAGATCATCCAGTGAAACCCCCCTGCCAAGGCAGGGTCACCTGGAGCAGGTGACACAGGAACGTGTCCAGGTGGGTTTGGAATGTCTCCAGAGAGGGATATTCCACGCCTTCCCTGGGCAGCTGTTCCAGTGCTCTTCACCCTCCATGGAAAGAAGATTTTCCTCATGTTGAATGGAACTTGTGTTTTAGTTTATGGCCATTATTGATATGTAACATACAAATATGAGTGAAAGCTCAAGAAAATCCAGTACAGCTCAACTCCTGTGCTTCAATATTTCCCACATTACAGAATGACATTGAAGTTGGACCAGGAATAACATGTTAGATACAATTAAAACGTATTAGACATAGTTTCTGTGACACCTAAAAATCCTTCCTGGCCCTTATTCCCTTTGAATAGTTCTGTACAGACCTGGAATGCAGGCATCAAGCCTGTATCCCATCCCTTTACTCCGAAGATGTAATACTCAGTATAATTCCCTAATAAAGGAATGCTACTCCTGAGCAACACTTGAAGAACTTGCCATCTGACTTAGCCAGAATGATACATCATGGTAATTCTGACATATGAGCCATCTTGTGATTTGAAACCACGTCTTCCACACATCAGACATCTGAACACCTGAGTTTAAATGACACCAAGCTGGTGTAAATCAGTCTGAGACAGGAAATGAAATAAGAAATAAATCATGGATTATGTATTTCTATAATCTAATAAAAGAGAAGAGCTGAAGCAGAGTGATAACCTGTTATCCTGGAAGAATTTATTTGCATTAATAAGAATAAAATTTCCCAGATTATTTGAGTTGGAAAGAACCCACAAGGATCACTGAGTCCAACTCTTAAATAAATGGCCCATATGGGGGTTGATCCCACAACCCTGGTGTTATCACCATGTTTTAACCAACTGAGCTAATCTCAGGGTCAAGCTTTCCTGTGTAAATAAAAAAAGTATCTATGCTTGCTTGTAACAAATAACAAGAATAAAATGGTGTACATTTTTATGACAACAATAGAGATTTATGGTGAACTGAAAAAAGCACATCACTTTGAATGGAACCACTAATCCAAAATAGTCAAAACCCATAGAGCTGACAGAGCACAAAGGTGCTTATTTACATTCTTATTTTAACTTTTCAAACAGAGATAATTTTATTAATGGCTACTTAGCATTTATGTGCAGAACATGTTCAGGTGGCAGAAAGGATTTTTTGGAGGAAGTGGGAGAATAATATTTGTGTAAATGGTTAATAAAATCTGTACAAGCCAGTACCAGGAGTTTCATCACGTGCTCTGACAGGCAGTGAACTCAAGTGCTGTCAGCTGCAATTCCAGTGTCAGCTTGTCCCCTTGGACACAGGCACTGCAGTGGGTACTGCTCCTGGAATAGCTGCACATGGATAGTGCCTCTGAGGAGATAAGGGAAACAGAGCTATAGATTCTGTGCTCCCCTGCTTATGGCTGTAGATATAACTTTTAAACCAGGCATAGCAATTCTTCTTCAGGAGGGTCAGGCAGCACCAGGTCTGAAAGCAAAAATCAGGCAAGGGCTGTGTAAAGAATTAATGCTGAGGTCAAACAGTAAATTACGTGGAATTATACTGCATAAGGAAAAGGCAAGATGTTTCTTATTATGACAATAACAATAAACCAAGCAGAAGCTGTGCTGTGGCTTAAGGCTCCCCATTGCCAGGGTTTAGTCAGAGCAAAGACATGGGACACACACTAAGTGTAAAAGTACAAAGCAAACCTTTGCTGGGGGTGGCACAAAGCGCTGGGCAACCAAAAGAACGTCTCCAGCAATCAGCACTCAGAGGGGGGAATGGAGGATGTAACAACCCAGAGGACAAGCAAAGATTTTCCCAGAACGGATGAGATCGCAGGAGCTTGTTTGTGTCCTCACTTGTGTCTGATGGCATGGGAAGAATTCAAATTGCTTGGGCATAGATTACTTGGAAAGTGGTGGTGAGCAGGATATTCTTTCATCAATGCCATTTTCACTTTCAGCAAAGCTTAAGTTCCACCATCGCTGGCTGCTAGTCCATTAAAATAATAAAACACTGTTCTAGATCGTTTCTAGCCAGAGGGTAAGAGTTGACCAGAGGAATTGTGGATGTCCCATCCCTGGAAGTGTTCAAGGCCAGGTTAGAGGAGGCTCTGAGCAACCTGGGCTAGTAGAAGGTGTCCCTGCCTATGGCAGGAGTTGGAACAAGATGAGCTTTAAGGTCCCTTCCAACCCAAACCATTCCATAACTCTGTGAAAATCTACAGATAATATTGTGTTCACCTGATGCATAATGAAATATTATCATCTATATCCTCACAATCCAGTGCATTCCTATTGATCAGCTGCCCATGGCAGAAGCAAATAGTCAACAATTTATAGCAAGAGAAACAGTTTGAAGCCATTGCCCCTTGTCCTGTCACTCCAGGCCCTTGGAAATAGTCTCTCTCCATATTTTTGTCGGCTCCTTCAGGTCCTGCAAGGCCACAGTCAGGTCACCCCAAAGCTTTTCTTCTCCAGGCTGAACAATCCCAGCTCTCCCAGCCTTTCCTCCCAGCAGAGCTGCTCCAGCCCTTGGATCCTCTTGGTGCCTCCTCTGGACTCTCTCCAGCAGCTCCATGTCCTTGCTGTGCTGTTCCCCAGGGCTGGAGCAGCTCTGCAGGGGGGTCTCACCTGTGGGGGCAGAGGGGCAGAATCCCCCCTCACCTCCTGCCCACACTACTTTTGATGCAGATTTGGAGGGGGGGAAGTTCATAAAATATCACCAAAATCACTGGGAATAAAAGATTTTAGAGGTGCCCCAACCATGAGCAGCAGCAAGCGAGACTTTGGAAGACCTGAACCCCCTTTCTCCCATGATTTAAAACCTTGCAGGATATTCCCAATTCCTAAACACCTCTGTAACTAGCAACAAAATTATTTTATTTTTTTTCACTACTTGCTCCAAGCCAAGTATTTAGTGCTTTTCAGAGCTATAAATAAATTCTCCACATAATGAATAGTTCAATATCGGCTAAGTTTGGAGGAGAAAGATAATAAAACTGAAGATATTTAAAATAAATTGCTGAATCCTCGATGGGGAAAATGCAGATTAGCTCTAGAGCTGCAGTGAATTAGATCATTCAAGCATCTGATCCAGAGCACCACAATGTCACTGGGTTCACTGCAGTCACTTTTACAAAGCATTTCTTAACATTTAAACAAGTAACAATGAGTAGTATGACCGTGTAGTACATAGAATAGAAACATTTTTCATTCTTTACCAATGATCTGATTTACACCAGAGGAAGCTGGACCCATCCTAATTGAAATTCAAAATCAACACCACACATTTGATGGAGATCAGGCACTTTGAAGAGATCACCAGCGCTCCTAGGACAGTTTAAACTTCCAATTTAAACTCTTTAGGGATTAAATTAATTCTTCTCGGGAAAAGTTGTACAAGGCTGATACAAAATTTAATTTTAATAGGATTTTAGTGACACATTGAATTTTAGGCTGACTCCTTGCATGAGTGAATTTTATTTGATGTAGACTAAAACTCGTTAAAGGTTCATTGAAAGGATCCCTCCCATCCATGTTCATCAGTAAATGTGGAAAACTGCTCCAGCTGAACACTTGGCATTGCAATTCTGAACCAGTAATGGGAACACATGCTGCCTTCTGAGATTGCTACAGCTACACACACCCCCAGCACACCAGAAAGGAGGAAATACAGAGGCACGTTGCCATGTGAAGATTCCATACTCTTCTCCTGGAGTCTCCAAAGGAGACCAAAACAGGTCGAACAGGGGCAAAAATACTGCCCATGCACAGTGTGTGGCAACTTATAAAGCTCCTTGAGCAGCAAGTGAATTATTCCAAATTACCAAACCTGAAGTTTCCAACCTCCTCTTCTTTTCTTGTTTGTTTTTTTTTTTTCCTTAAATTTCATTATAAAAAGAAGGAATGCTAAATGCCAGTAGTAAATTTAGAGTGTCAGGCTTAGTGGGAGAACTGCAAACCTCCTCAGCGGTATTCCAATTGGAATTTTGGTGAATGACTCCTGGTTCATTTTCTAGAGATCATGATCCCATGAACAGGGGGTGTTTTTTGGAGCTTTTCCACTCTGGAAGCTTCTTGAAGAAATGGAGCTGGTGTCAGGGAGATAGAGATGTAGTTCCAGCTCTGTGCAAGCACCAGCCAGTTTGTTTAGCCATGTCACTGGCAGTGAGTGAGTGCCAGAGGAAAACTGAAATCTGAGCTCATCTGGGAACTGGATATAAAAGGAAACAGTCCTTTCCCGGTTCCCACCTCCCACGGACTTCCAACCTCCCCACTATTCACATGCCCTTCCCTTCAGCTGATACACTCTGCTGACAGCTACAGCAGTAGATCTCAATGCTAAAAATCATCAGTATAACGTTTCAAGAGACACACACCCCAGAAAAAAACCCAAAAGACAAACTACCAAACAAACCAAAGAACTCCCCAAACCCAGGGAAAGGGAGGGGAGTGGGGAAGAAGTTTTTCTGCATAACTTTATTCAGCTCCAGGCTCTTTCTCAGCCAGAGTTCCCCTTTTGCAGGAGAAGTGTCCTAAAGCCTCTTTTAAAAACAAATACATTATTTTCTACTGCAGACAATCTGCCTTCACTTCTGTGCGAATACAATATCCACTTTGTCCTTCTTCGGTGAATATATACTTCATATACTTCTTCAAACATATTAAATCTATTAAATGACAGATAATTTAGATGTAAATGTCATAACTGTGGCAAAAGCTCTCATGCAAGCCAGACTGCACTACCAGGAATTCTCTACATCTCGAGCAGCTTTCAAGAATAAGGTGGCCAGTGTACAATAAAAATAAGGTTTATTACTGTTCAGAATTCCAGTGTTTTTTTTTTTCTCAAATGCAAGTTCTGTCCTGGCACCTTCTGGGCTAATTCCCCACCCTGATCCCAGCAGTAAGAGGATGTTAAAGGAGTCACCTACCGCTGTAGACCCCGAAGATGTGGCCACAAATACTTTGATCACCATGTTGGCAGTGATGGAAGTGAATCAGCAGAGCCTGCTATCCACAAGTCACCACGATCCCAAGAGGGATTCAGCAGCTCCTGGGCTAACCCGGGTCCTAAATGGATGCCCCCTCCCCCAGGCAATCCAGCAGCTTTGCCCTCTCCTCGGAGTCCCGGGTTTTCCCACTCCATTGGCTCTCAGGTATTTTGGGACAAGGATTGGTCTGTAAGAGGAGCTGTAAGCGAGGGTTTTGCACCTGCCCCCAGCCTTATTGCATTAGATTGACAGGGTGGCAGCCCAAAAAAGGCAAGGGAGAGTAGTGCACCAATGAGACAGGGCTGGAGAAATATTTGGGAGTGGGGGAAGGGATAAGTGAGAAGGGACAGGGAGCTGGGGGCAATCACAAAGCCATCAGGTTGCATGGGCACTGTCGCTGCTGTCGCCTGCATAAAAGAGCTTGTGCCCTTTCCTTGATCACAACCAGGCTTTGGAGTTGTAGCTGGAAAATTTAGATTATAGAAGGGGAAGGAAGAAGGAGAGGGCAAGGGGAGCATAGATGCAGAAGTAATTATAGCAGAGATCACAATAAAATAAACCTTGGTTATGAACGCTCTCTGCTTTAAAGAATTCAGCTCATCGTCCTCACTGCAGGCTCAGCGATTTCCCTCCTTGATACTGAGGGGGGTGATTTGGCTGACTCCATGCACCCAGAACCTGCAGTTGCCTTTTCTCCCTCTTTTTGCATCACCAGTGAAAATTTCCAGGGCACAAGGTGAAAGAAGAGGTTCAGAATACTTTGGAAACGCCCCCACCTCCCCATTCTACTCTCATTATCCAGGATGCTCTTTTTCCATCTGGTTGTCGCTTCTGCCCCAGAGATGGCCACAATTCACTGGCTGCCTGCACATATTTGCTCAAGGAGGTCTCTGAGCATGAGAGGTATTTTAAGAATGTTAAATGATAACAGATTACTTCCAAATTTTAAGAGCAAAGTTTGTTTCTGCTGTAAGTGAGCAATGTGAGCTCAGTAAAGCTGTCCCTATGCCAGAGGTGAAACTGGTCTAGGTTTTAAAAGGGGCTTACACACATTTCACATGTTAGGATTGAATATAGCAGTGTCCTGAAAACACTTACAATGGAATATAACACTTTATTTCTAGGGTTGATTAGGTAGGACCAAATGCACTACTAAATAGCAGTAAAGCAAATAGTAAATATGCTATTGAAAGGAATTTTTTTTGTCTGTGAAAACCCTCCTGTGAGGTTGGAAATGCAGTACTCCATGTATGGAACTGGGATCCTGAAAACACTCACTGAAAACTAAAAATAAAACTATGGATAGTTTACACTGTGTGGCTCACCATCTGTCATTTCTTTTTACTTTTGAGAGACAACAGGAGGTCCAGCAAAAAGCCTATTAAAAGCAAGTATTTTCAGAGTATTTTCCTGTAAAACAAAAACAAAAAAAAAAAACTCACATAAGTGAAAAAACATGAATTACAGCCAAAAGTTGTTTTTCATGCTTGTTTCCCAGGAGATTTTGGATGTGAGTATAGTCTAGGAGACAACGGGCCACTTGGAATTTAACGTTTTCAAATTATTTGGTTATTAGTGGTCTGAAGAAGTACAATCAAAGGATGCTGTGGTCATTGGCATCAAAGCATATTGATAAGCCTTGTGATAAGGATGCTAATAATTTCACAGAATCACAAAATATGCTGAGTTGGAAGGGACCCACAAGGTCATCGAGTCCAACTCTTAGCCCCGCACAGCACCATCCACAAGAGTCACACCCTGTGCCTGAGAGCATTGTCCAAACATTTCTTGAGCTCTGTCAGCCTTGGTGCTGTGACCACTGCCCTGGGGAGGCTGTTCCAGGACCCAACCACCCTCTGGGGGAAGAACATTTTTCTAATATCCAACCTAACCCTGCCCTGACACAACTTCAGGCCATTCCCTCAGGTCCTGTCTCTGGTCGCCACAGGGAAGAGATCAGTGCCTGCCCCTCCTCTGCCCCTCACAAGGAAGTTGTATACTCAATTTATACTCAAAGCTGTAAATATTTGCACCATCAAACATCCACAGTCAAATTCTGGGGCAGAATTGCCAATGAACTCTCATTCCTGCTCCGCTTCACCCCTGAAACAATCACTGACCCCCCCCTGTGGAGAAGCCGTTCCTGGAGCTACAGGGAATGGCAGGTGAGGGCTTCAGGACACAACTCCCATCCCAAGGAAAACATCACTTTGTTCTGAAGGGCTTTTCTCCTTTTTCAACATAGGAATGCTTAGTTTAAACCCGAGTTTGCGGCCTGTTGTGTCTGGCCACTGAGCTCTGAGGTCCACAGGCCGTGACCCCACATGTGAGGCACCTCCGTGGCTGCGGCACAGCGGGGCCCCACGTTGCCAAATTCCCATTAATATCCCAATGGGGTATGGAAATATGAGCGCGGAAAAACACACACAGGCACCTCTGCTGGGTGCAGGGTGAGGGAAGAGGGAGGGAAGGGGTGAGAACCCGGTCCTGGGGCGCTGCCGCCATTTCCCACGGCAACGGCGATGGAGGCCGGTAATGGCGGCGGGGGAGATGTTCGGGAGGCCGTGAGGGGACGGCACAAAGTGGGGAGGGATGGAGGAGATTTATGGAGAGGGCAGAGGACAAGGTGGGATCCCCTGCCTGGGGGGGACAGGGGAACAGGGAGAGTGGAGCAAGGGGGTGGCAGGCGGGGTGGCGGGACATGGGACTGGGTGTGGGATTGGCTCTCCAGGTGGGAAAATGAGGAGGGTGCCAGGGCATGGAACTGGGTATGGGATTGGTTCTCTGGGTGGGACACTGAAGAGGTTTCTAGGACACTGGGGGGGCTGTCAGGACATGGGACTGGGTGTGGGATTGGTTCTCCAGGTGGGATACTGAGGGGGTGCATGGGGCTGGGTGTGGAATTGTCTTTCCAGGTGGGACACTGAAGGAACTGCCAGGACATTGAGGGAACTGCCAGGACATTGGGCTGGGTGTGGAATTGGCTTTCCAGGTGGGACACTGAGGGAACTGCCGGGACATTGAGGGAACTGCCAGGACATTGGGCTGGGTGTAGGATTGGTTCTCCATGTGGGATACTGAGGGGGTTGCCGGGACATGGGGCTGGGTGTGGAACTGGCTTTCCAGGTGGGACACTGAGGGAACTGCCGGGACATTGAGGGAACTGCCAGGACATTGATGGGGCTGCCAGGACATGAGGATGGGTGTGGGATTGCCTGTCCAAGTGGGACACTGAGGGGACTGCCAGGACATTGATGGGGTTGTCAGGGCATGGGGCTGGGTGTAGGATTGGTTCTCCACGTGGAATACTGAGGGGGCTGCCGGGACATGGGGCTGGGTGTGGAACTGGCTTTCCAGGTGGGGCACTGAGGGGGCTGCCAGGATACTGGGGGGTCTGTCAGGGCTCTGAGGTCCCTGAGGTGGTCAGACCCCACCTGGGGATGGATCCCTGTGTTCCTGGGGCTGCTGGGCTGGAGGAGCCCCTTGGAGGAGCCAGTGGCAGGTCAGAAGGTCCTGGATACACCTTTCCCTATGGAGCAGGTGGGCCCTGGCACCTGGCTCAGCTCCCCCGGGGCTCAGGGCTCGGCTGCTGCTCCATGGGGCTGGAATTCCCACCCTGCTCTCCTGCCTGGGCTCCCCCCTCCTTTACTTACTCTTTTTTTGCACACAGACAACAATTAATTCTTTCCTGTGGCAGTTTTGCTGTTTATGGATGCTTGAAATGGCATTTTCATCCCTGTCAGATGGATTTGGCCTGAATTATTTCTGTTCCTGCATCTTGTCAACATAAATTCTCCTGGTGTTCATCCCTTGCAGCCTCCCCTTTCAGCTCCTGCCTTTTTTCTTCCATTGCAATATCTTTCATTTCATTTCTCTGTTTCTTGTCCTTCACCTTTTGTTTTTCTGTCTTCTCCTTTTCCATTTTATTTACTTTTCAACACCTGCTCTCAAAGCTGGATGATGAGGTTCAGCCCACACTTCTCATCAAAACAAATTAAAGTAGGAGTTTTAAGTTCAATTTCAGCTAATTTGATTTGAAGACAAATTGCCTAGAAATTGTTGGCAGAGCCAAATCAAATTTAAACACAAATACAAATCTATGTGCCAAGCTGGGCTTTGCCTAATGCTCAAAATATGATTTCTCATCTCCTAGGGATTATTGCACTGCCTCACATTTAGTAGGACCCTGGCATTCCTTAGTATTCCACAAGGAAAACTTGTTCTTGTAAAGGAATTAAGAGTAATGAAACTGTTTTGATTCAACCTAAAATGCTTTGTGAAATCCTGAATTAAACTTTTTAATTTTCTTGGGGAGTTATGTGATTCCCCTCCCTCCTGTAAGAAATTTAATTTAATAATTTAAAATGAAATGCCACCACAAAGCAAAAATGCCAACAAAGGAGCTAGAATGTTCCAAAAGTATCTTCTCACATATTTTTTTAGTGAAGGCTGCTTTTTAAAATCCATCTGAACTAAAATATCATTTTAATACCCCTCAAATTTCTTTTACATACTTGCCATGCCCACTTCAGAGACCCCCAAATATACAACTTATTCAACTGCAGAATAAAATTCTTCATCTATAAAACTGTGATCTGAGTAGTCTTCATGTGATAGTAAGAAAATTAAATGGATTGGACAATACCCCGGGAAATAATTTTTATCACAACCACAGCTATGATTACATTGTGAGGTTTTATTTACAAGTTTTTTTGTTTGTTTTTACAAAAATAGATTTAATAAACAACATCCCAGAAGTTTAGAAAAGCTTTATTTCAGTCTCAGATACTCTGTTGTTCAGCTTTAGGTGCTTCTATATCTTCTACCTATAATATTAATATGGCAGCTAAGGTAGTTTTTGTTCTATTTTAATGCCTAAGTTAATGTTGTGATCTGATTTACTACCTAATTCTTCAAAAATATTACTAAATGATATCTTTGTGACATGAATGGAAAGTTAAAAAGACTATAAAAGCACGGATAGAAACACTCAGTTTCTGGAGACTCGAACAATTCCTTTCTTTAAATACTGTAAATCACTTTGTAGGTGTTGAGAATAAATACAATTACACTCCTTTAAATTAAATCCTGGAGAAAATGTATCCATGACAGGAAGCAAACTATGGTATCTATTTCCATTTAAATGGAAATGCCTTGCAAATCTTAAAAAAAAAATACAGGCTGCTCTCATAGTAAATTCTGAGATAAAACCAGTATATTTTATATTGCAGTTCATTTTGGAAACAAATTACAGACCACACAATTATTTTCATGGATTAAAGAGAAGTGCCTGGGTTTGTTTTTGGTTTTTTTTAAGGTAACTGAGTTTTTCTTAGGATCATTTAATATATTTGAACACTTTTTGGTGTTTATGTTACCTGTAAACAACTCAATAGCTCAAAACCTCTCCATAATGTTCTGATTCCCGACAGGGATTTCCGTGTTCTCCCATAACACAGGTGGTTTTTCCCTCCGTATTTCCATGACAGAAGTTGGAATGTGGCACAAAACTCAGGGAAACTGAAGATCCCCCAAGGCACAGAAGTACCAGAGACAGCAGCTGGAGCAGGGTCATGATTTTTGGCCACCCAGCAGAGAAGATCCAAGGGAATATTCTCCCACTGACATTCCCAAGGGCTTTGCCAGTGATTGACTCTGGAACAGTCAGGGCCAGCCAACCTTTAGCAACAAGAGGAACTGAAGAAAAGAAAACACAAAAATATGGCAAAAAGAGGATGGGAAATAAGAAAAAAGGTCAGTGTCTCTTCCCCCAGGGTGATAAAAAAGGTGGTTTTTTTCTGGTATTATGAGACTCTTTTTGAGAAATACAGTTGTTCTCTTTCTTTGGCAATATTTTCAATAATTAGGAAAACAGAGGAAACAAGTTTTTTCAGTGAAGAAATTAATAACTCGTGTTTCAAACACTGCTGGAAAAGAGACAGAGATTCCCTGCTGTGTTATTCCACAATACTCAACGATCCAAGTGGCAGGATAATCACCTGGGGTGTGGGAGCACCTCTGAAATCCTTATTCCTCAGCTTTAATCTGAGGGTTTGAAAATGGCTCTCCCACATTTCGGTTCCTGACCTTGCATCTCGTGATGAGGCTGAAAAAACCTTTCATCAGGAAAATGATTAAAAATAATGCACAAAAGTGTCAATTTTTACCAGAAAACCCCCATGTTTTGGCCACTTAGTCATGTAAAATTAAGTTTATGCCTCAACAGAATGACCATATAGAACTAATATGTAAATGTACATGGAATTTAGGTAAATATTACAGTGAAGGATCACTCCATGTCTGCATGTTTTCACATCTAGACCCATCCTTTCCCAAATCCTACCACACCACATCAAAAAATGAGTGTAAACCCAACAGCCCTTCTCCTGCTGAGCTTCAAAATTTCATCTCAATCTGCCAAAGCTCCAAGATGCAAATCAATCAAATAAAAGAGAGAAAACCCACTGATTATTTCTGTTATTATCTGTTAAATGCTGCTGTTAGAAGTCAGAATGGCATGAAACAAGCAGACCAGAAAGAATAACGACATTTTTTAAATCTAGTTAGCAAAAGAATCATTATTGGCCTCTACCTGTATTGGATAATTTATTTTATATGTGTATAAATTTGGATAAAGTCGTTATTATTATATATATATATATATAATTTGGATACAGTGGTTATTTTTACTTGTTCATGACTACTTGAAATGAAATATAAAGATTTTATAGTACTTTTGACAGCTTTGACAGGAAGGTATTTTCCCTTTTCCATCCTCTCCTTCCATTCTGGCAAACTGAAATAGGAACATAATGTAATTTTGCAAATATTTGTATGACAACATTTGTGGTCATCTGGTAGCCTTCCTGCAGTGGAATTGTGTTACAGAAAACATTGGATTCAACAAAAACTCTTGAAAAGATCTGTCTTTTGGTGTTGTTTTTTTAGGTTTGACCTTGCCATAAAATATTAGGTGATGTATAAATCATAATAAACTTCCAGCAAAATGCTGCCTTGAGAGCTGTAGTAAAATCGAATATATATGCCTGAAAAAGGGAAACACATTCAGATTTACAGCCTTGACTACTTTCAAATTCTAATTCTGCTTCAGGAAAGGAAAAGGAGAGTAATTCCCTCAGAACCCTGGCCATAAGGGAAGGCAAATGACGACAACACACTGAGGATGTAGCCCATAAATATATATTTTTCAATTTCTGCTTAGAAACCATGCACAAAAGTGCACCTGTTCTATGCTAATGAGCCCGTAAAAATGTTTAAAAAATATAGTTTAATTCAAAGCTGGCTTGAAAGTTCTGGAAAGCTGGTTAGAAATCCCAGCTGCAGGGCTTTTCAGCATGTGCTGTTGGGATCATGGTGGGTTCTGAGTCCTTGGAGGTTACTCTGATTATCATGATTATCTGGACATTATTGCCCAGAGCAGCCACAGAAATACAGAGAGATATAAAATATTTAATGGATTTACCTGTGAAATACTTGAATTATAGAAACACAGAATTGTTTGGTGGGTTTTTTTTTCTATCATGCATCCATT